ATTTATGGCACTCCAGGATAATGTTGACCGCATGTACAGTACACTTCAGGCGGAAGTATGAAAATAGTCCTTGTGGGCGTTTTTTCCGCTCAAAAATCGCGGTGTTTTACCCATATACACTCCGCGGAATTAGAGACGGTCTGGGCGGAAAAAAGCCCGCGAAAATATAAAATTCGCGGTGGATTATCGCCCGCGAAAATATTAAATTCGCGGCGGATTATAGTCGGTGGAAATATCAAATTCGCGGCGGATTATAGTCCATAGTGATTTGAAATAGTCAGAGTAATTTAGTCCATATTGCCACAACGTTATTAGAAAGAAACAAATATTTAATGGAACGATATCACGAGTATATTAGTCGTTTTAGTTCACCGGTAATTCATAGATATTCATAATACTCTTTTCAAATTCCGTTTTGATTATTAACTAAAGTGTACCAATGTATTATTGTATTCATATCCTAAAATGTCCGTTATGTTCTATTCATTTATAATGTACATCTACATCGGTACTTAATTCGTGAATCACACCATAAAGCACAGACACATAGCAATTTTCTATGTCATTAGTTGATCCGACAAGCAGACAATGAAACCATGTTTCGTGAATTCTGATAACAATGTCTGAAAATGGACGACAATAAACATATATAGAAGGCAGCGATTTGCACGTGGGTGTTTTAAAATATGCTGTTTTTTTATATACTGATTGATTATCCGTTTTAATTATGAACAACAATTTAACGATATTCGTAGAAATAAACGAATTAGCATAAATTGCTAGGAAGGAATATTTTCTCCTTTAACGGTAATTCAATTAAAATGACGATTCGGCTCCCAATATATACATGTACTTTATGTCCCCAAAATTAAAAGTCATATTGGATAGAAGCTGGAAGATTGTTTACTTATTTCAGTTTCGTATTTGACTTTACAGATTCCCCATTCCCCACACTGCAAAACAGATCAACACGTCAAATCGTTTCAGTTACAGGTATAAGGCTTAAAAATATCATGTCTTAAATAGCCCCTTCAAATATTTCTTTTTATACTTTAACTTATAAATGCAACACACAAACTGCTTACCGTATTTATACAGTTGACGATAAATATCCTAAATAATAATCCGGTTCGGTTTCTTTCCAATAATTATCAATGAACATATCGAAGAACCTTTAATAAAACACCTAACAACCAGATCTTATGACTGGGATCTTGTCCGGACAGAACTTAGATTAATAGTAACTGATCAAAGAGTGAACATCAAACAGAACAAAGGAAATTGCCTCACAAAAAAGCATGCGTTAGTTAGAAGGGATGATTTGTGTGCCAAATTAAAAATATTATCACCGACAGGGGTTCACTAGTCCGCCGCTATAAGAAATACTATAATGTGGGTATCAATAAACCTAACCCTAACTCAACCCTAATGATAGATATCGGTGGACTAATGAACCCTAACCCAACCCTAACCCTAAATAAAGATATCGGAACCCTAACCTAACCCTAATTCATCGTAGCCTGTTAGTAATTTAGCCGTGACAACCGCACCTATTTAGTGTGAAAATCCAGTTTGTTGGCGCCCCAATTGTAATTATTCTTTATTAATGAAGTCAACTATTTTGGGTAATGATTACTTACTGACAATTCAGAATTAAAGTATTGTCTACAAGACTACGACATGGTAACAATTTGTTGTTAAAGGGGCTTCTATTATAGTCAATTATCAATTCCCTTTGATGACACGTGCGAATTCACATAATTTGGAAACTTGATTGACAGTATGCATTGACTCAGACTCTTTGGTGCCGAAATGAATAGGTCATCATGGTATTATGTACATGTTTGCGTCAAGGTTGACGTTGACTTCTGGCGAGGTGTGCATTTAATTCATTTGTGATTTAAATCCGAAGATATAATACTTCAGGTGTGATTTACCGATTTACAATGCATTGTGAAACTTATTTGTCAGAATGGGAATGGATATTTTAATGGACAAAACCTTTCGCCCACGGTAAGACCAACATCTATGTGTATAAATTTTGAATGTCTTAAAAATGTCGAACATATTGATGAAGTAATGAATCGTACAGCCATAACTCTGTTTATTATATTATATAAAAGCCTGCCAATTTCTGATATTTGTTATATTTTCAATGTAAGACAGCAAAATCTGCGTGTCTAACCGTGTTAAATTAACAATCTTTTTTTGCATGCCGTATTAGCTGATATTCGACTACGATATGATGACTGCGGTGCAATTGCACTATAAATAAACCTAGCTATTTTAAAACATTTACATGTACGGATGTGCTGACTGTACATGCATGGAAAGTCCGACTTAAAGGGGCACGGTGCGATATAAGGGATGGTTTTTGTGCCAAATTAAAAAAAATATCACCACCGGTTCAACGAATGATTTTAACAGAATATGTCACCTGCGAATATGATGATTAAGTATTCTTTTCACACGGCGCATACGCTAACCTTTAAGTCTGTGCAGATTCAAAAATTGAATTATCTTTTATATCCACATTTTTAAATCCCGAGTTTTATCGTAAATAAAATTAATAGAAAGTATTGTTTACAAGAATACGACATGGTAACAATTTGTTGTTAAAGGGGCTTCTATTTTAGTCAATTATCAATTCCTTTTGATGACACGTGTGAATTCACGTAATTAATTAGGAATCTTGACTGACAGTATGCATTGACCCAGACTCTTTGGTGCCGAAATCAAGGTATTATCCGACTGATACATGTGTTCAGCAAGGTTGACGGTGACTTCTGGCTATGTGTGGTTGAAAACAGGAGATGAAGGCATATATTACTTGTTCGGGTGTGATTTATCAATTTAAAATGCATTGTGTGACATATTTGTCCGAATGGAAATGGCTATTTCGATGGACAAAACTTTCGCTAACGGTAAGACCAGCATCTATGTGTGTAAACTTTGAAATTTTCGTAATTTGAATGAGTTTGAAATAGAAGATCGATGCAAGTCTTAAAAATGTCGAACATATTGATGAAGTAATGTACGGTACAGCCATAATTCTGTTAATTTTATTATTTAAAAGCCTGTTTGATTTTTGTTATCTTTCAATATAAGCCAGTAAAATCTGCGTGTCTAACCGTGTTAAATTAACAATCTTTCTTTTGGCATGCCGATATTCGACTACGATATCACTGCCGTTGAATCTCACGATAAATAAACCCATTTCAAACCAGCTATGGATGTGCCGACTGTACATGCGTGGAAAGTCCGACTTTTTAAAATTTCGCGGTGGGCGGCGGTTTAAAATAATCGCGGAGGTCGGCGGTTTATTTAAATTCGCGGAGGAATTTTAGAGCGGAATTTTGAGCGTGGCCAGAGCGGATTGATTGACTGACGTCTGCGATTTTTCATTTCCGCCCAGGTCGGACCTCGGGGAAATTTAGAACTTCCGCTTGAAGTGTACTGTACCAACCTCCTACATTCACCTACGTTCGAGCAGAAGTGCTCACTTACTTAGATTCCTATGTTCGAGTGTAAATGCTCTGACATTCCTTCAAGTTTTTGGACCCTAGAGTACTGTTTTGTTTTGTAATATTTGTTTTTGTCCTCTTCTCCTTCAGGGATTTCAATATGGAATATATGGTAACTTCCTGATTGTCAATGCCTCTCCATGAAAATTTCCAAATGTTTTTATACAACGATAGGCTCCTAAATACAGGTGGGGATATGCGGGTCTAATTCCTAAAATAATTTTGACCAAAATAACCCATTTGGCACAGGAAACTTTTGGAGAAAAGGTGATACTCAGTGGGTGACAGGACATGCAAACCCACTAATCCTATGCTTGTTACAAGTGCGAACACGTACATTCCTCAGAAACACTTCAAATCTTCAAGCCATGGGCGACTAACTGTTTGTGATCGCTCACATGGTTCTCTACCACTCAAGAACTATTGCGGTACGAGAACGTACTGAAGATGCTGCTGTGAACCTTACACAGCTATTGAAAACCTAGTGATCTTTTACCCGAGATGAAATGAAGAAGCCTATTGAATTTCAGCAATTTCCGCCAAAAGTTATCAACCGATCTTTCTGAAATTTATATGCATTATTTAAATTTTTGAAACGACGAAGCCTATTACGTCCACATGAAAATGTGGGCGTATAAAAACGTGATTTTTCGTACAATCAAGGGCTATAATTTAGGAAGTTACAATTTGATATGTCCAAATATCGAAAGGAACCAAGATTTTGGGGTTATAAACATGCATTTCAAAGTTTCATCAAAATTAGATGAAAATTGTGACCTCAAAATCGGATAAGAATTGTGACCTGTAGAGTGTCCACAAACAGATTGGTGTGCTTATCAGATTTTATAGTATTTTTCCATTAGGAATTAGAGAGGAGGGAGTAAAAAAAAAATAGTTTTGCGTCCCAAATCAATGTTGATAAATCAATGTTGTTTACACGCAAAGGGTTGCGTCCCTTATTTCCGTAGTTTTGACGAGAAAATTAAAAAAAACTCTTTTTGAAAATGCGGTAGAAATCTATTACCGCGCAGTAGAGTGGTACATCAATGCAGTAGAGTTGACAGGTCTGATCAAATATCAATTTTTGGATCATAAGTTTTGAATTCGTTTTACAGAGTTTTTTTTGTTCAATTTTTTACCGTAAAAGCCTGTGAACACAATAAAGTTCAAATTGGATTTTTCATAACCTGGGGGGAATAAGGAGAAACCCTATTTAAATCCAATGACATATTTTAGAAATGTACACAACCCGACAGTGGTTTTGTACTGGACATGTATCAAAATCAAACCACTTAAGCCATTTAGGACAAATCTGTACACGACAAAATGGCCGACACAAGATGAAGTTGTGCTCGTCATAGTCAATGAAAGGTAGCTTATTTCAAGGCTTGGACATAAACATTCAAATTCAGGTTTCTATATGCATGACATGATTATAATAAACACTTCATTCAATATGACCAATCTTATACTTACTAGCGTCAATAACTTCCTGTATTTTGTCATTACTACCATCAGTAAGATAAGACAAGGCCCAACATGTGTCAGCCAACACCTCTTTATCACTGTGGTGCAAGAGTCGCGCTAAAGTAGGCAGACATTGTTTCACAACTTCAAATTTTGGTGGTGGGTTTTTGTTTCGGCATAAATTAGAAATAGTCCATGTAACATTCCGTAAAAATGCTGCCTGAAATGAAGAAATAATTAGTTTTAGCATAGAATTTTAATCTGATCTAAATTGTAAAATTCTGTGAATATGCTGTCTGAAAATACAGAATAACTATAATCTAATCCAAATTGTAAAAGGCAACGAAACATATGCCCACAGCAGCTAAATCGTCCGAGCAGTTAATAAAGGTTGTCGCATATTTATGACCAATGTCTAGGTCATGTTATTTTATTACTTTTTAATTCTGTTTTTAATTTCAAATTTATATTTTTATACGCCCAGATCCCACATTTTCATGTGGATGTATATTGTCGTCACCCCTGTTCGTCCATATGTCTGGACGTTTGTCCGTAATTGTTTGTGGACTCTACAATTCACAATTCTTATCCGATTTCGACAAAACTTGGAATATAGGTTTATCCCCAAAAGATCTCGGCTGCTTTCGATATTGGCATGTATCTGATCGAAACTCCATGGATTATGGCACCTGATTGTACGAAAAATCGCTTTTTTTTTAGCTTGTGGTCCCTCTAAAGGTTACAGTTATTATCTGATTTTAAAAATCGTTTGAATATATCACCATGACACCATAATAAAGGTTGAGTACGATAATAGTGCAAAAATATGGTATATTAAAACCGCAATTTTACCCATAAAATGAATAATTCCAGTACAGTCCTTTAGAGCGACATCAGGCTGTAACCACTTCAGCATGTCACCTCTTGCACCTAGGGGGTGTCATACCATAAGTTTGATCAAAAACTTCCGACCCCCCCATCTTAGCACCTTTTGCGATTTTTGCATGGTCTTCTCGCGGATACACTCTTAATTGTTTGTTTCTCATGACCTGTGTTTGTGAAATATACATGATACAGGAGGTAATTATTAATTATTGAGATGGAATTTAAATTTTTAAGTTTAATGCTGTTTCTATTTCAGTAATAAACTAATGTCGGTTACTTGGTCATTGAAAACCAAACCGTAACAGGTGTTCGCGATTTATTCACATTTAATAAAAATTTTATAGATTAAAATATATGTTGCAAAATAGCAGGGCATCGGAAGACTTGATCATAATACATGTAACAGGGCTTCTAAGTTAACTGTTCGTTAATTCATTCATTCTTGGTATTTCATTTCTTTCCCGTACTTTGAAAGGTTACAAAATGACCTGTTCCAATCAGGTTGATGATTTGTTCCGACATAAACATTTAAAAGCATACCTTTGGATTTTTTAATACAACATATTAGTTAGATTATTTAACATGCCAGTCGAAAGAATTTATTACATGCGTGTTCGTTTCTTTTACTGTGAAGGAAGATAGTACCAATAACCCGTATGTTAATTGTCTTCAACTTTGACCCCATCGGCAAATGGCATCGTGATAAATACTTTTATAATTTTGTCTATCTTCATCAAAGTATTCACATTTATTAGTATCTTTGTATCCTTTTGAGACTGTGTTGAAAGAGAGTCATCGTTAATAAAGTACCGTGAAGTAGTGTCAATTAGTCGGTAGGCTTACCTCATGATCTCATGGCAGCAGTTTTGGAACCGTTTGTCACAGAGTGCTAGTCACGCAAATAAAATATTTTAGCACTTATTTATAGACATTTATATCTTTCCGTGAATTTTATTACAATTGACAAGTGCCTTATGAAGTATGTTTGTCGTCTTTGGTGAAAGAAAATTCTGCAGAATGACAGATATGATACAGCTTTTTTAACTTCCGGTTTCACATATGGACTTCATATATTTTTTCACGTTCTAGCCTACTAGACTTTACTCATCACCTAGTGTCATGTTTATCAATAAATAGTCGAATTTAATGTGTCAATTCATTGTTAATATTTGAAGGCAAACAAATATAGTTTTACAAATTTTACAGGACGAATTTGTGACCTCCCTAAATTTGAACAAATAATTATGGAAGTGCGTAATTATTACGGATAAAACGGACATTCGGAAGGGTCATAAGAAACAATTAACGACAGCCTAAGTTTTCATATCTGTAGCACTGAAAAACATTGTACATTTCTAGGCATTGCAATCTTTCAGGATAGCTGTTGAATGCTGCGCTGTATCCCCTTATCATTCACACTTCAAACTAAAGTTATATGGCTAGACTGATTTTAAATCTGAAACAGGTCATTTAAATGTAAATTAAAGAAATAAACTTCCCTTTTACTTCATTTATGCAGTTATGAAAAACACTGACACTACTGGCAAATGATACATGAATCGCTATCATTTGCCAGAATAAATGAAGTACATGTAAAAGTGACGTTAATTCCTAAGATGATAAACGTATACAATAACCTTAGGATGCTAGATGCGAGAGCGAAATCTGCCTATTTACAGGTTTTTATTTTGCTTCAAATGTTATATAATTTATTTATACAACAAGCCTATAATAAACTCTCTAGACTATCGGATGGCACAAATGTAAACGGATTAAATACAATCGCCATTTAATGTGTTCATTTAAAAATGGTGAGGCCCGGCTGACTCTTGATTAACAAGTAACCTTGCTCCGATAATAAATGTGGTTTAATGTCCTACTGTTCAGAATAAAGTAATTTGAATGAATTTTTAAATATATAACTTTTTGATTATCTATTTTGGAACTATTATAGCAAAAAAAGCCAGCTCTTTATTTAAATCTGACAGTGCATCTTTATAGTAAGAATTCATTTTAAATAGTTTTTATTACATCTAAATTATAGCTGCCTGCAGAAAACGGGGCCAGATCGGATTGAAATCAATTGAAAATCGGAGACATCAGATGGCATCGAGAGTTGAATATGGCCTTTTCATGTTAATAAATGTCTAATAATTTAGATAACATTTCAGGCATAATAATGTTTAAATTTACAATAAACAGATTTTAATGATCTTTTGGGACTTTCTAGTTTTTCAAGGGGTCAAAATTTGTCTTTGAGAATCACATGTAGGAAGTATGAATGCACAATTGTTGAAGAGGCATGCCAAGTTTCATATCGATTGTCCTTGAAGTGTGAGACTTTCCCTTTTTTTTTTTTTTTAAAAAAGCCCACCCAAAAGAACAAGAACAATAAAATGAGTAGTGCTTGGGGTCCCGTTTCTGGTCAAAAGACATATAGACAGCTCTTATGCTAGGCTGAGGGACAGGAGAAGGGGGTAACCTAATCCACCATTATTTTAATTCATGTCAAAATATTGATTTTTTTACGATTGACTGTTGGCCCAATGTTGTCCCAATGTAAGTTTGGCCAACATTGGGACAATGTTGGACAAAAAAACATTGGGCCAATGGTGGACAGTTACGTTGGACCAAGGTAACTGTATACATTTGGCTAATGTTGGCTCAATGTAGGACTGCTACCTAGGCTCCGCCCCTCTAAAAATCATTTTATACATTCAACAAGAGCATTGCTAACACTGCAAAATATGTCCACATTCCTGCTTTGATTGATATGGTACTTCTTAAATTAAAGAAGTTAATATGAAATGGCTGTAATATGTCAAGAATGCAAAAGATATGCCAGTTAACGAAACATACTACTACAGCAGCTAAATCGTCTGAGCGGTCGACAAGGGTTGCCGCCTTTTGTAGGTAATTGGGGACAATTACAAGACAATTTCATACAGTGAAACAAGGGCCATAACTATTAGTAATTATTGTAAATTGCTGAAATTCAATAGGCTTCCTGGTTTCACTAATTTAAATAATGCATATAAATTTCACAAAGATTGGATGATAACTGTCGACGTTAGTGCGTTCACAAGGTTCAATAAAGTGAAACGAGTCATAATCCTTGATGTCATAAATTTCATACAGATCGGCAGATAACTTTAGAGGTTAGAACTTTCACAAAGTGAAACAATGGCCATAACTGCAGGCTTCGTCGTTTCCTTAATTTAAATATTGCATATAAATTTCACAGATGAAATGAAATGGGGTTTAATGTCCTACTGTTCTGCTCCTAAACTGGGCTAATGAAGACGGGCATACGCCATACAGTGTACGATGAGGGAAATTTTGCCCGAGCAGCGGCACTACAGCCTACTCTTATATCGAATTCCAACTGCCAAGGGATCTTTTACATGCACGTCAATGTGTACACGGGACCTCGGTTTTTCGTCCCATCCGTACGACTAGACAGCTGTCCTTGTCAGGCCCTCTGTCCTGTGACTTTTCCATTAAATCGACACTACATCACGAATTATTATTTATAAATTATTTATTAATATACTTGAATAAGGGGAAAAAGTGGATGCTAGTTAACTGCTGTATTGTGTAAAAGACAACTGAACGAGTGTCTCAACCAACCAGAAAAACGGTGCAATATGTATTGTTATTTTACAATTTATATTTATTCCCGTTATATGCGGACTGGCACATATTTTGATATCTGTATGGATTCAATTTGCTATGACAACTATCTAAGAAAGAACACAGTACATATATTTTCAATACTTTTATTGAAACATGTGTAAGCTGAAATTATAAGTACAGAAGAGTTGTGTGAATATCTTTACCTTAGAGAAATAAGCCATTATAACTACATTTTTTAAACAATATTTCGAACGATGAAAATAGAAATATCATAAAATTTATCAGGTATAATACACAATGCCAAACGTTCTACGCACGAATGCACCACCTGACGGGTTAACAAATCATTTGAAACTTAATTTTATTTACTTTAAAAGGATAATATTAAATATAAGATTACAAAGATTGAAATTAAAAAGAAAATCATAAAATGAACTGAAAATTGTTCTACGCACGAATATGCTACCTGACGGGATAACGAGTCTATTTTATTACCTTTTGAAAACAGCATTCATTCAATATAAACAATTCACGAAATTAAAAGAGAGAGAGAGAGCATCTTGGCAGGTGTGCAAGAAAGGTGCGATAGAAACCGAAGGGAAAAATAATTTTTTAATTTCATCTTTTCTTACATAATTAAACGATTTATCACACAGCACAAGATTACCATCCCAATCCACATTACAAAAATTTAGTTTCCTGTCGGCTGTAATCAATTTTGCAACTCTTCCACAAAATAAATCACCGTTCTAGGTACACGTACACTAGTGACGCCGGCTTGTACATAAATCCCGCTCTTGTATGTTGTAGACTTTCCTGATAGCCACAGTGGCTAAGTGGGTGAGATAAAAAAAAAAACGCTGGCTCTCTAACCAGGAGGTCGCGTGTCCAATTCCTGCATTGGCTACACGTAAAAGATCAATTGGCAGTTGGAATTCGATATATGGCGTGGATGTTATGTGATTTTGTTTTAGAACATAACTATATCTTTCACTTGCTTTTTCTCAAAACTATCTTAGTTGATTGCTCACCACGTGCTCTGCACACACAATTCGTAAAAAGATAAGACGCTGAGTATGAAATGGTCGGGTTGACGTTTGAATGGGGTATTTTTTTTTTTTTTTTTTTATCAGGAATCGGGTTATATGGTGCAAATTTGAAGTTACCAATAATTGCAGCTTGTATGTAAAATCCTGCCTGCCCCAAAACATGTGTCAATCCGCATGTAACAAGAATAAATATAACTTGTAAATCAAATAACTATTTTAACTATGAAGGTATTTATGTATCGATCTGTCTAGCCCATCTTCAGTGTCTTTCTCACACTACGGCGGCAATCGAAATACCCAACAAATAATCCTGTTGTTCACTTCCATCCTTTATTCATTAAAAACAGTTCCCACGATTCGAGAATATTAATAAATAATCATTTATTTAGGATGAAGTGACGATTTAACGGAAAAGTCACAATTTAACTGATACTCACTTATTTGAAAAACTCAACAGAAATTTATATAATTAATGATTTCACGCTTTACCGACGTCGGTTCCAGTTACTGATGCAGGTCAAAGATATCTGCCGGTTTCACCCAGATAGTAACCGGTAGCCTAAATAGTGACGTATTCATATTGAGTTACGCATTTTCAAGTTTCTCCCGCACGCGTCTGACTAGTGATATGTTCGGATAAACTCACACTTGTTTAATTACTCGCGTTATTTTTACATACTGAAACAAGTAAGGAATACTAACCAATTAAACATGCATTATGCAAGAGCAAAATCTGCTTATTACAAGTCTTTCTTTAGGCCTGAAATGTTATCTAAATTATCAATTAGACATTTATTAACTTATCCAGACCATAATAAACTCTCGATGTCAAGGCCAGCCTTCCATGTTGGCTGGATTAGATTCCTATATGCCGCTAACGGCCATTGATAATTAAATCAGAAAAAGTGGATAATAGAGACTATGCTGTTTATATTAATGATTTTAGTAATGATGACCGAGACTATGCAAAAATTTCACCCGCTTTTTTCTTTGCTCATAGTGGATCAATTTGACAAATTTCCAGCAAATTACCTTTACACTATCTAGTTTTTAACTATTATAGCGAGAACTGCCATCTCTTTATCTTATCTCCCATAATGTATCTTTAACTTAAATACTCACCTTATGATAATTACTGACCATTTATAGGAATACTGACGTACGGTGCAAGTACAGACGGGTTTAAGCGACTTCTGACAACACGTCTATTTCTCAAGAGTTACCATGAATAGTAACCAATCAACACATTCTGCGCGATGGGAGGATATTTTAACACAGAAGCCAGTTAGTCAATACTCAGAGATCGGTTCTACACACTATGCATCTCCCCGTGTAATTGGGGGCCTTTACAAGACAGTTCCATACAGATCAGATTAAAAATTGTCGGTTGAGGGTTCACAAGGTTCTACAAACTGAAACAAGGGTCTCAACTCTCCAAGTAATCTACAGAAATTGTTGAAATTTGACAGGCTTTTTTGTTTTACTAATTTAAACAAGCCAACAGTGATGCTGATGTCCCCCGCTGAAATCCCCAAATAAATAGATGACACATTAATTTTTTTCAAAAGTATCGAGCAATCAAACTGATTATCAACTATACACTAAGTTTCATCACTCTATCAGATAGAATCAAAGTTATCTTGTCCCAAAGCATCGACCAAGGAAATTGCTTATCTCTGCTTAGCTTTAGCTCGATATGTTAATCATTGAACTCAGTCAAGACGAACATCTACATCAAGTTTAAACATTCTATCTCAATTACAAGCAGAGTTGTTATGTTCCAAAGTCTTGACCAATCAAAATGCTTATTGCTCCTTAGCCTAAGCAGACAATTCTCATCGAACTTAGTCAAGGTATTGATGTAATGAAACTATACACCAAGTTTCATCACTCTCACTTAATTAGAACTAAAGTTATCGTGTCCCAAAGCATCAACCAATCAAATTGCCTATCTCTACTTACCCTTAGCAGAAAATGCTCAATATCAAACTTAGTCAAGGTATTGATGTAATGAAACTATACACCAAGTTTCATCACTCTCACTTAATTAGAACTAAAGTTATCGTGTCCCAAAGCATCAATCAATCAAATTGCTTATCTCTTCTTACCCTACTAGGCAGAAAATGCTCATCTTCACACTCCATCAAGGCATTGACCTAATAAACACCTACACCAAGTTTGAACATTTTAGCTCACTTAGAAATGAAATGAAATTGGGTTTAACTTCCTACTGTTCTGCTCCTATGCTGGGCTAATGAAGACGGGAATATGCCATACAGTGTGCTATGAGGGAAATTTTGCCCGGGCAGCGGCACTATCGCCTACTCTTATATCGAATTCCAACTGCCAAGGGATCTTTTACATGCATTCCAATATATACACAGGAGCTCGAGACTACACTCATGCTTCGTTTCCAGCGGTTATTCAAATTCTATCACGTAATATGAAGCCGAAAAGAAATATTAAAATAATGCTAACGTTTCGATTAAACTGGACAGACATCAATTGGACGAAACGTTAGCAATATATAAGCATGGAAATTTGATTTTCCAAACCATTTTCCTGCTTTTTTTAAATGGCATATACTAAAACATAAACAGCCATTCCACAAAGGGACAAATTTATTTCCATGTGTCATAAAAATACAAAGTTTACAAAACGAAAGTAAGACCACCTCAATAATGTAGTGGATGGACAGACTAGTCAAATTTTCACTGGGGTTTGAACAATTCAAATTTCGGAACTTATTTTTCTCATCAGTATATTTTTTAGTCTGTTTTAAAGAAGACACACTTGCCATTATAATTATACAAAAATAAATTAAAAATTTTAAAACAAATGTTATTTCAATGTATTCTAAAATCTTGATAAAAAAAATGATGGGGAAAAATGTCTGTCTTAAATGATGTAATTCATTAAAATATTTGAAACTTATTTTAATAAAAAAAATACACCAATAAAGCTGGTATTAAGTATTTTATATGTTCAATATATGCTGATTTTGAAGATAAGAAAAATATTTAAAAACTCTTTTTCTCTTTTCTAATAAAACCATTACATTTGTTAGATACCCACTGGTACACTTTATAATAAAACATGCCATTTGTCCTTTCATGACCCAGAGACATCCCACCAAATTTGAAACAGATCTGTCAAAAAAATTGTCAACGGACGAAAGGGCTGATTAAGGCGACGACTATATACGCCAAAAATATGTGCGAGCACATAAAAATTCTAAAAAACATCACTTGCCTAGTCTAAACGTCACTAAGTAAAAAACGTCACTAAGTATTCCACGAGATTTATGTCCTGTTTATTTTCCTTTCAAATATTAATAAATGCCATTTAAAAAAAACAAACATTAGTAGATAGGAAAAATGGTAATAAAAAATGATTAAGTAACATACTGGAACATCAATTCTAGCCAATCGTAACAACGGATCAACAATACCAGCCATTGTCACATGATCTCGCAGTTCAGGTCCATCCCCTGAAAAAAACCAAAAAAACAACCAATCAATATGATTATCCGCCCACATATTGTAAGAGATGGATGGAGAACTGGGAAAATCAGTAGGGCTCCAACTCTCATTGTTCCAAATAAATCTGTTAAGATACGCCCACATTTTGAAATAGATGGACGGAGAACTGGAAAAATAAATAGGGCTCATCCTCTCATTGTTCCAAATAAATCTGTTAAAACCTCTATCATGTTCACAAATTTTGGAAAATTGGCGGCAACTATTGAATGGAATATAACGAATCACTGGATATCGATAAGGCAATGGAATGCAAAAATTCTTTTTATTTACAGTAAAGCTCACTACAGTGGACTGTCAATTCCGACATCGTACGGAATTGCCTCAATTATACCGGAAGTATTATTGTACCTTCGAATACAGGAAGTTTTGGGGTCTACAACACATATTTTACCCCTAGATCATTTTGGAAAGGCAAGTCTTAAGTAGTGTTGTCACGATTACAAAATTCTTGAATCGGTTAATCGGCCAGCCAAAAATCGTATCGGTGCCGATTAATCGGATGCCGTATAAATTCTATAATAATGGAAAATAAATGTTTCTTTCATTCGCTTACGTCATTGCCGGTAAGGAGTTACAAGGTTTTTCTCTTGCGATTATGTGTGCGTGTGTGTGTTGGCAAGTAAATTATAAATGATGCGTAAATGGATGATAGTCATTAGTTTTGTTGTTGAGCGGTTGAGCTGTGTTAAGACATTCCCGAGTTCTGACTTACCCCTACTGCTTAATCTGCTAATTGAAAATCCAACACCGGCAATATTTACAATTCACTAGTCCAACAATTCCCATATTGATCCCATCAGTTCATAATATCGGCAATCATATTGATGAAGAACAAAAAGAGAAGTCACACAAGTCGGTACAAATAACAATTTAAAAACAAACACGTGCGTCTGTCACAGATTTTAAAAGGCGGCAACATATGCCGATTGCGGAGGGGGGCGAATAGAAGAGCCTCCAGACTAGTAATGTCAGATTGGTAAACACGCTTATTCGTTGTCTTGTGCACAGAGGGAATCTCCATTTATAAGAAGAATAATCAATTTAATAAAACGAAATAAATGCATTAAACCCTTTAATAGGTTTCGTAAAAGTATACACGTAACAGCTAATTAATTGTTAAACATAAATTTTTTTTAAAAATTACTCGCAATGGATATTAATTCATTTAAATGTGTATAATACTACTAGACTCGCAAATTCATATTTTCTTAAAGTAAAATAACATATGTGTTGAATGGCTGACAAAATTAATATGTATAGTTTTTGTTGATGAACAAGAGTTCGTCTAAAAGTTCAGGGTCTAGTCTACTTCTAAGTTTGGTTACTGTTCTACTGGCAGCACTAAATACCCGTTCGCTTGGAACGGATGTTGCAGGAATCGCAAGGTACTTCCTAGCCAGAATGCTGAGATTTGGTAAAAGCTCTTGGTTTCTGCGCCACCAACCCAAAGAATCGGACGTTTTGACAGGCAGTGAACAAAAATGTGCCAATTCGTCGACTGCAGAATTAGTAGATTCAACAAAATCCCCAGATATATACCCTGCCACTTTGCTTTGTTTAATAACAGGGTCCGAAAGTTCTGTTTCGGGATCAGGTGGATTATGTTGTTGGAGTTTGTGTAACAATTCCCGAAGATAGTCAAAGACAGACTTTTTCGTCTCGGGTAAAAAACGCAAAGATTTATATTTAGGGTCCAGGGCCGTTGCGATTATCCAAGGAGAGTTTAAACCGACGTCATTCGGCAAACCATTTAATTCAATTGGGAGACGCTTGACCAAACCGTTGATTATTATTTGCTTCAGCTCGCAGACCACACCAGAATCCTCATCGGACTGATTTAAATCATGTTTGACTAAATTGGATACTAAAATAAAAATGCAGCTTGAGGAAGGGGAGTTGTCTACAGCTAATAATTCTGTAGCGTCTGCTAATGGCTGTAAAACCGGGACGATTTCCTCTATAATTTTCCAGAAGCTGTCCCGAATAACAAGTTGTTGTCTGTCGCCAATTTTAGTAATGGATTCATCAAATATTACAGTGTATACTGGTACCCGCAGCTCCAGTAATCTTTTGAGCATAAAAAAGGAAGAATTCCAACGGGTAGCCACGTCTTGGATAAGTTTTTTAGGGTCGGACCCTTGAGCTTTAAATAATGTTTCTGTCGCAACCACGGAATGGTTGAAGTGGCCTACGAGTTTTCGTGCTGCGCCCAGCACCCTGTCAATGGGCTTTAATTTGAGGCCATCGTTAACAGCTAGTTGCAGCGTGTGTGCAAAACAGACCGTGTGGTCGACTGTGGTTTCGTTTCCATATGATCATTTACGTGGCGTACAGCCACACGCATATTTGCCGCATTATCTGTTACAACTGCCGTTATATCCTTAATACTAAACTCCTTGGCCAAATCGGTTAAATATGAAGCTATGTTTTCTCCTGTATGTTTATTAGCCATAAGTCTCGTCGCCAGTAACTTATTTTCAAGACTCCAGTCATCAGTAAGATAATGTGCGGTCAAACTGATATAAGCATGGTTAGCTATGCTTGTCCATATATCGGACGTCAGTGATATAAAACGATTATCAAGCTCCTTATTGACGTCTTCCTTTATTTGGTCGTATAGTAAGTGTACGTGTTTGGTAATGGTGGTGTGACACGGTAGTTTATAGTCCGGGTTTAAGGCAGCAACAAAATTCTTAAAACCTTCACCATTGACAATATTTACTGGCCTTAAATCCACAGCACACATAAGTGCCAACCTTTTATTTATTATGTCTGTTTTTACAGGCAAAATTTTTTGTCTTGTGAAATTTGTAATGCACGACTGTGTAGACGTCGACGACGAGCCCGCCAAGGACGATGTCGATTGATCGTTCAAACTTACTGATTTGTGTAAATGTTTAATATGGTTTCTCATGTTCGATGTGCTCCCATAATATTTTAAGGTTGCTTGACATAAAGAACGTTTTGTAACGGCCTTGCAGTCGCTTAGATCGAAATATTTTCATATTGTACTCGTCCTTTTATCGTTAGAAGCCATTTTACTTCAACTTTTACTATAATCGTAGACGTGTTTGACCAGTGCACATAAGCTACAGTAAATCACAGTTAGTTATATGGCTGGATAAACTTACCTGTAACAATGTTCCATATAAGGAATATGAGTATTTCGTCACTGTTTACACTAAAACGTGCACAGACGTCATATGTTTTTGTGTGTCACATGATCAAAACAGTATTATGGACTGCACATGTTGACATTTTACAATGAACGGTACTTAGCAGTAAGTTAGTTCTGTTAGGTTACTATTATGTAATAAAGGGAAAGAATAGAAACGCACATGTTGAAAGTACTTTATTTATTCTTTAGTGCTTTTAGCAGACGGTCAAAATCAAACATAATAATATGTAATTGTATTTAAATATAAATTGGATGAAACGACTACCTATTTTTCAAAATGGTAATCGGTTTGAGCTAGAAATCGAATCGACTACACCCATTAATCGTGACAACCTTAGTCATAAGTTTTGTAACCTGTACATAAACCTGGGAGCGCTCCCCCTAACCCTGCCAAATTTATTAAGAGTTAAAATTCAATATCCATCCACAATTTTCTTGCAAACGTTTCATTCTTAACACTAAGAAACAGAATGCATGACTTAAAAGCATAAAATAGTGTGCTAATGCTACTTAAAGATCCATTATGGGAGATTCGGTAACGAGTTGGCAGTTCTCACTATAATAGTTAAAACTAGATAATGTAAAGGCAATTTGGTGAAAATTTCATTCAAATTGATCCACTATGAACCGAGAACTAAGCGACTGAATTTTCCATAAGCCTCGGTCATCATTACTAAAGTCAGTACGATAAACAGCATAGTCTCGATTATCCATTTAATCGTTTAATCGAGAAGGAAAGTTATGCAGTAAATCGGCTTACAATCCACTAAAGATCGCAGGCTAGCGCTGCCATCTAGAGTTGATTATGGCCTGGATAGGTTAATTAATGTTTAATTAATAATTTAGATAGCATTTCAGGCCTAAAGAAAGACCTGGAATAGGCAGATTGAGCTCTTGCATAATGTATGTTTAAGAGCTTAATTAATTAGCACTAATTAGTGAAAGTAATTTAAATTTAGAGTCCATAACTGAAACAAAGCCTAAAAACTAGCTAACCAAGTCATGAAACCCAAAATATCACTTAACAGCGACAAAAGTTGAACAAACCTTGCTTAAGAGTGGCTCAGAGGCGACAAAGGTCAAAGGTCACTAATTAGTGACTAATTAAAATTTAGAGTCCACTACTGAAACAAAGCCTAAAAGTTAGCTAACCAAGTCAGGAAACCAAAAATATCACTTAAGAGCAACAAAAGTTGAACAGTCCGGCGGCCGATTACGAAATAACAGGGGGACCCAAATTTTTCGAGATAAGTTTTTTTCTCGACGGTTTTATATGGAATCGGACCCGCTGAATCCATTTTTCACTACTGGATCACTGTCAGCCTGGAGGGTTTTGAGTAATTAGCTAATTATTAATTAAATAACTAATTAAAATCCCATTCGTTTAAAATGACACACATGTCGAAACCTCCACTGTTCGTAATGTTTTTAAATAGAATAGTATCCCCTGAGTCTATTTTTGATACAAGTGCACTATCAGTCTGGTTTCGTTTCGAATAATTAGCTAATTAATAATTAAATAATTAAAATCCTGATTATTGAAAATAACACATATGTCGTGATATAAGATTATATGGTAATGGTTTTATATATACTATTCAAAAAAAGTAGGGGATATTTGATTTTTAAGTGTTATTAAAGTCACCTAATGAAACTGACGAAGAAACAAATGACAAAATGAAATGAAGTTCACATTCATCGATTTATTCCAAATGATCGTTAGACTAAGTAAGGCACAGACTGACCATTATAAGGGTAAAATGATACCCG